CACTTTGACCACAGAATACAGTTATACATGTTCTTATGTCCACTTTGACCACAGAATACAGTTATACGTGTCCTTATGTCCACTTTTACCACAGAATACAGTTATACGTGTTCTTATGTCCACTTTGACCACAGAATACAGTTATACATGTTCTTATGTCCACTTTGACCACAGAATACAGTTATACATGTTCTTATGTCCACTTTAACCACAGAATACAGTTATACATGTTCTTATGTCCACTTTGACCACATAATACATGTTCTTATGTCCACTTTGACCACAGAAAACAGTTATACGTGTCCTTATGTCCACTTTGACCACAGAAAACAGTTATACATGTCCTTATGTCCACTTTGACCACAGAAAACAGTTATATGTGTTCTTATGTCCACTTTGACCACAGAATACAGTTATACATGTTCTTATGTCCACTTTGACCACAGAAAACAGTTATACATGTTCTTATGTCCACCTCTGTCCACAGGATATTGTTATACATGTTCTTATGTCCACCTCTGACCACAGGATACTGTTATACATGTTCTTGTGTCCACTTTGACCACATGATACTGTTACGTGTTCTGAATGTCCACCTTTGACCACAGAATACTGTTACAAGTGTTCTGTATGTTCTTTTTTTTTTGGTCTTACTGAATATCATACTTGTTCGGATGTAAAACTCTGATTTTGCACACTTTGTTTTGTCTTGGACACGTGTTGCCACTAATGGTTGTGTTTCTTTGTTAACAAATGTTACTCTTATAGAAGATCTTGTTCTTGCAGAAAATTTGAATTTTTTTTATCACCAGAATTTGTATTTCAACCAAAAATATAAAACACGAACAATAATTTTTTGTGCATTTATTATATTTAAAATTCTTTTTTTTAAATAAAATTTTCAAACAGTAAAAAGAGGTAATACAAATATATAAAATATGAATGCGTATATTGATGCTTCATGTATTGAACACCTTCTTGGATTTTAATAGCAAATGACCAGGGTTTTTACGTGTTCTATGAGCAATGACATTTATTTCATAATTTGATTCTTTGAATATATTGAATATAATTTGAATTTAAATTCCCGACTTAACCAGCTCCAAGTTTGTGATAAATCTGGGTATGTAGCTTACCAAAAATATTCAGATATACTAAAAAAATATTATAGAGCCATAGCTGTGAAGATAGAATGTCATTAACTCTTTCGCTGCAGAGTTATTCAGAATTCTTTGTTCTTCTTTGTGACAAGTATTTTCTAGCCTAATATCGATTGTTTGTGCGTATTAAAAACATAGAAAGCAAATATAGAGCTCAATGGAAAAATCGGAAGTTAATCCTATGTCTCCCATCGCTTGCAAACATTGACGGAATCGTAATGAGATATCCATTGAAAGAGACTGAAGAAGATATTTAAACTATAAATGAAATGAAGAAATCGTCCTAGAAAACAAAAGTTTCTGTTGTTTTGGACCTGCAATGATGGTGATTCAGATGTTAAAGCTTATCCATTGTAATTTTGTGAAGGTCAATTTGTATACGCTGTTCCTACTTCTATTTAAATAATTCTTATGGTGGCACTGAAATATTAAAGATTTTGGCCAAGTTTATACTGAAAACAGTAGTTTACCTATTTTTATGCAATATAACAATCAGAAATGGAAAATTAGTTCTTTTAGGTCTAATAATGTGAAAATTGAACAACACATTTTAGGGAATTGGGTCTGGTTAAGTCGTAAATTTAGGGTTAAAGTAATTGATAAGAATTTTCTGAAATAATATCTTTCATATGAAGATTATCTTCCTGCATTGTTAGCTTAGTATATGAACTTAGGACTAATCTAAATGTACTTGAACTTAGGACTAATCTAAATGTACTTGAACTTAGGACTAATCTAAATGTACTTGTACTTAGGACTAATTTAAATGTATTTGAACTTAGGACTAATTTAAATGTACTTGAACTTAGGACTAATCTAAATGTACTTGAACTTAGGACTAATTTAAATGTACTTGAACTTAGGACTAATTTAAATGTACTTGAACTTAGGACTAAACTAAATGTACTTGAACGTAGGACTAATCTAAATGTACTTGAACTTAGAACTAACTAAATGTATTTGAACGTAGGACTAATCTAAATGTACTTGAACTTAGAACTAATCTAAATGTATTTATCTGGCCAAATCTTACACAATATTATTGATTTAATGACTGAAAATGTCATCAACATTGAGGGTGCTTAAGTGGTATTTAATACATTCTAATCATAATTCGTTTCAATTGTTCTGGTGTATTTATTTAGGACATAAAGTATTTCTCATCTTTTGGAAGTTTAGGTTTGTCTCACTGATTTACAAACAACATTTTGAATATATATAGTTCAGATCTATATACTTAGCTGACTTTTCATCAGAAGTTCACTATGTTATATATATTTCATATGGTTATTTTCCTCTAGCTTCACATAGCAGCAGCCAACGGTTACTTATCTGTAGTCGAATACCTTCTAGACCAGCATGTTTCTACAGATTCTGTGGACAACGATCAATGGCAGCCTGTCCATGCTGCTGCCTGTTGGGGACACGTGAGTTTATTTAAAAAATAAACATGGCTTCTCTCTGAACTTTTGACTTTTTGTTCTGGAATAATTAATAATGGAATGAAAAATCCGTGCCTTAAGTTAAGAAATACCCAGTTTTTTACGTAGTTGAAAAATAGAGAAATGTACGGTACATAAGTTTTCTCAAGTAAAAAAAACAAAACAGAAATAATGAAAAGATTTGCTAGGTAGGTCAAGATGTGGTTATGGAAATATAACAAACCTGTATTTGAGGTACATAAAACACCTGTATTGTACATCCTCTGGTAGTGTAAAATAAATACATCATTTCTTGGTAAAGTTGAAGAAAAACATCCTTGTCTACCTACATCGTACATCTTCTCAGAGTTGTAAAATAAATACATCATCTCTCAGTAAAGTTGAAGAAAAACATCCTTGTCTACCTACATCGTACATTTTCTCAGAGTGTATAAAATAAATACATCATCTCTCAGTAAAGTTGAAGAAAAACATTCTTGTCTACCTACATCTTCTCAGTGTGTAAAATAAATACATCATCTCTCAGTAAAGTTGAAGAAAAACATCCTTGTCTACCTACATCTTCTCAATGTGTAAAATAAATACATCATCTCTGTGTAAAGTTGAAGAAAAACATCCTTGTCTACCTACATCGTACATTTTCTCAGAGTGTATAAAATAAATACATCATCTCTCAGTAAAGTTGAAGAAAAACATCCTTGTCTACCTACATCATACATTTTCTCAGAGTGTGTAAAATAAATACATCATCTCTCAGTAAAGTTGAAGAAAAACATCCTTGTCTACCTACATCATACACTTTCTCAGAGTGTGTAAAATAAATACATCATCTCTCAGTAAAGTTGAAGAAAAACATCCTTGTCTACCTACATCGTACATTTTCTCAGAGTGTGTAAAATAAATACATCGTCTCTGTGTAAAATTAAAACATTTTAGTTTGCCTGTTTGGCACATCTTGTTAGATTTTTTTATTTTAGCAAAGTTAAGTAAAGATTTAGACTTTCAGGCTTAAAAATAAGTTAAAAGCCCTAGACAAATAAGCACATTGTGAAAAGTGTGCTGTATGAAACAAAGATCGGTGACGATACTTACTTCAGTTGTCAGCACTTTCCTTTTCCTGTTTACTGGATCCTCATAAAACAAAGCTTCTTATATTTTTAATGGCTAACTTTATTATGTCGATAACCTTTTCTTTTTTAGTTCTTTATGGCTGGAAATATGTTTCTTCTTACAGCCTGACGTCATTGAAATGCTGGTACAATCGGGGGCTGACCTTAATGCACGAACTAAGAATGGTGAAACTCCATATGGTGAGTTGCTAAGTTTTTTTTTCTTTTAAAAGATTTTCATTTCTAAATTTACATATATTTTTTTAACAGAATAATCTTCCAACTTTTGATACTTGTTGATTTGTAATCACAATTTAGTTCATTATAGAAATTATTTTATTGTGATTAATTTTTTACTATGTGTGTAGTACGAGGTGACAGTTGCAGAGATTGCATCAAAAGAGTCTGACCCCCTCAGGTGGAGGCCGTTTGCTTTTTGGGAGGTAGCAGGGTGTTACTGTATTGACTCTGTACGTCCATCTTTCGCTTTTCCTACCTACACTGGTGGTGGGTGGTGATGACTAGCTGCCTTCCCTCTAGTCTTTCACTGTTAAATTAGGGATGGCTAGCACAGATAGCACGAAATTCAAAACAAACCATTTCTACCTACACCGTATGATACGTTGTTTTCCAACAATGTCATTCCTACCTACACCATCTGTTAGGAATTTGCCCGGGTCCTCATTTACCCTTACCCCTGCATGCCATCCATCTGGGGTCCAACCACCCACAATTTTATGTTGTTGTGCCTGCAAAACAATTGCAAATATTATGTTGGTGGCAGTTTTTATTTACAGTTCATTGCTTTTAGCAGTTCAGAGGAGAGCTTGTTTTATGACTTCATCCTTGTGCTGCTTGAGGGAATCTTGAATTCTGCACCAGCCTTACGCAAACGTTGTTGCTCCTGGGGACATTGTATGCCCAACCAGTTCTCTTTGGTGTAGGAACTACCTGTGGCTGTGATGACTTTAAATTGGTGCTGACAGGTTTTTTCTGCTTCATCCACTACCCAATAACTAAATTTTTGTCTAGGCTGATTCTCACAGATTCCAATGGTAACAGGTTTTTTAATCCTCATGGGGAAATCTGAGATCTGGGGGTGATGGATTATCTAGGCAGTAGCTGTATAGCACCTGTACACCCATGAGCCACCCTTTATGCAAGCCTCTGTTTGCTTGATGTTTGCAGTGTTGTTGTGAAGCTTGGATGTCCCCTTTAAAAAACGACAATGTTTGAATGTTGGAATTCTTGGCCTTTACAATGCAAGGCCCCTAGTGAAACTTTTTTTCTTCTAAGTGCTGTTGGTGCTCTGTGATACTGCTGAGTGTTATGAGGTGTAATAGGGTTTTAGTGG